TGAATGATTGTAAGAACAAGAGAAAGGTTGACTCTCCATATGGCAACCCTACAATTTGTTTATCAACTCTACAATAGGTTTAGTAGATAACTCCTTTGGAGCATGCTTGTAAGTTACTGAACTATAACCAAAGACCCCACTGGAAAATGTTTTGAATTGACATGAGACTTTGACATTAAGTAGCAACTTGGAGCATCAGAGAAGCCTCAAAAAGAAAAAAAAGTTAACAAGAAATTCGTGATTAGGTTGAAAGAGACATTCTACTTCTACTACCCAGAGAGCATAGATAGAGAAAAATGAGCACCTTCTATACCAATACTAGGACTTTGGCAGCTGCTGCCTGTAATGGCTGTAGGCCTAGTCCTCATGTACCTAATAGAGAAGGAATCAGTACAAGCTCAGACCCAGTTGATAAAAATGAAATAAAAAGTCCCTGTGGCTGGAGCTATATGGGTAATAGCTTTACCAAATATTTGTGTAGCCAATTATAGTTTATGGTGCAAAAGACTATAATCCCTCCACAAAATCTCTGAGAGTAAATGTTATTTTCATTTTTTCAGATGAAAATAGTAACTTTTCAGATGCAAGCTTATAGCTAACACTTGATTTTTGAGCTTTATACATATTATATGTCAGTTAAAATAGCTTTAAGGTTCTAAAAATGAAAGCTTATTTTTTTCCCTTTAAGAGGAAGTGATGTATTTTTATTACATGCAGGGATTGAAGGAGTGTGTTATTTAATAGTAGAGCATTGGACTAGAGATTGGGAATGACTGCTTCTGGTCTGGATGCTGCCAGTAAGTGAATGTTACTCAGAGTCTCTTTTTTTCTCAGGTATAAATTGAGTCAGTCTTATAGGGATTTTTCTGGGATGTATCTTAGCTTCGCAGATGAATTTCAGCAACATTCCCAGTGGCTGTCAGTTGTTAAGAGACATGCAGCTGGCCCTGGCATTTTCAAATAAAAAGTCCTTGGCACTTACTTGTCTTTCAAGAAGGGAGTTGTAGTTTTTTCCTTCAGAGTGCATACACAGCATTTGATCTGTAGTCCTTCCCTTTTCCATCTCACTTCCATTCTGGTTTGGACCCTGAGATAAAAGTAACTCTTCAGGTATAGACTGTTTAGTTCACTGATGTATCACAGGGCCTTGATTAGTGCCTGGCCTGGGAGATGTTTGTTGAATGAATGACTTAGTTTATAGGAGCTTGCAATCTAGTGGAAAGGCAGAAAGGTGAATGTGGAAAGGCAGAAAGGTGAATGTGGAAAGGCCAGTACCTGTTCTTTCGTTGAGATGATATTGGAGGTTTGAGAAAGGAGAAGTGTGCACAAGGAATAGTAGCTTTAGGTAGGCAGGGTTGGAATGGAGTGGGGAACTGTTTTGGTCAGTGAAGGCTTGGATGTTAGTTAGACTGGGTCTTGAAAAGTGACTCCTTCCCAAGGGGCTAGGAGAGAAGGCAGTGTAGGCATGTGCAAAGGCAAAGAGATGGGTGTAGAACAGGGTATGAAATATTAAGGAAAAAACTGTAGAATCTGAGGTTCGAGAGTTAGACCATCACCAGATGATGAAGTCTGGAATGCTGTACAAAGAATTTGAGTTTTTCTGTGAATAGATGGTAGCTATTGAAGAATTTGAGGCAGGGAGTTACCATTATCACATTTGCATTTTAGGTAGATAGTACCAGGAATTAGGGCAGGAGAAATGGGATGAGAAGAGATGAATTCATTAAGTATTTAGGGATTGATGAAATCATGGCTACGAATGAGAGAGAAGAGTTGACAACAGTCTTGTGTTCAATTAGGAAGCTGGGTGTTGGTGGTGTCATTAATGAGGTAGGGAAAGCCGGAGAAAGAAGAGATTGGCAAACATGAGTTCAATTTTGGACACTTTGGGTGTGAGGTGCTTCTGGTCTGCCAGAAGGAAGGTGTTCATATGGCAATTCAGTGTGGAGACCAGGCTTCTGGGATATAGGTCTTAGGCTTGAGCGAATGCATTTATTAATAGGATTTATTAGTTTTTCAACAGCAGTTAGAAATCAAGAGATTGGATGAGAGACCAGTACAAGAGCACATAGAATGTAAAGAGAATTGCTGCAGGCCTGCAATCTCAGCTATTCGGGAGGCTGAGGCAGGAGAATCTCTTGAACTCGGGAGGCGGAGATTGTGGTGAGCCGAGATCGCACCATTGTACTCCAGCCTGGGTAACGAGAGCGAAACTTCATGTCAAAAAAAACAAAAACAAAAACAAAAACAAAACACAGAATAAGGGCAAAAGACAGAATGTTGGGCCCCTTAGTATTGAAGGGTAGGCAGGAGAGGGGAAGCTGCAAAAGTGGTAAGATGTGACCAGACTCCTAGGAGAACCGGGACAGCAGGATGTCACAAAAGTTAAGGGAGAGGTTTCTGGAAGAGGGGAGTGGCCAGAGGTGTTAGATGCTAAAGGGAAGTCATATAAATAGGGCATTTTATAAATATAAAATATTTATTTACATAAATATCAGAAGTTATTTGTTTGGTCATTGGTGATTTCTATCAGAGGATATTCACTGTTCACTGAGGGTAAAAGCCAGAAAGTGGTGAGTTCAGGAAGTGGAAATGGGAAGACTCTTGAGACAGGAGGAGGATCTCCCTGTTACTTGAAATGGAAATCCTGGGGTCTTCCCTGATGACTTCTGCTTTACCCCTACATCTACTCACGCACTGCATGGTGATGCTGAGGGATTTTTGAGTGGGATCTTGAGACTCAGACTTTTTGGGTTTGAATCCTTCCTCTGCTACTGATAAAGTATCTGATCCAAGGCAAGTTATTTAATCTGGCTGTGGTTCAGTTTTTCCTCACCTATAAAATAGAGATAATAAAAATATCTAACTCATAGGCCTGTTAAGGAGTAAATAAGTGAAGTGCTTAGCTTAGTGGAGCACCTAGCACATAATAAGCACTCAGTGAATGTTAGCTATTTTAAATCCTAAATACCTTTTAAGTGTGTTCTTCCCTGGATTACCATAATAGCTTTTTTTTTTTTAAAGCTTATTAAAGTAAATTGTTGTAGAGTAATTTACATGCCATGAAATTCACCTATTTTAAGTTCACATTCCAGCCCTTTTTTTTTTTTTAGATAGAGTCTTGCTCTGTTGCCCAAGCTGGAGTGCAGTGGCATGATCACGGTTCATTGCAGCCTTGACCGCCTGGGCTCAAGCAATCCTCCCTCCTCAGCCTCCTGAGTAGTAATTCAACACTTGATAAATTTATTGAGTTGTGTAAACATCACTACAATCCAATTTTAGAATATTTTTATCACTCCAATAAGATATATTGTGCCCCTTTATAGTTAATTCCTATTCCCACCCCAGCTTTAGGCAACTACTTACCTACTCTATAGGGATGCTTTTTCTGGGTGTTTCATATAAATAGAATAGTTCAATATGTGGCCCTTGTGTTTGCTTCTTTCACTTAGCTTAATGATTTTTAGGTCTATCTGTACTGTAGCATATCTCAGAACTTCACTGCTCTTTTGCTGAATTGTATTCGGTTGTATGGATATGTGAGATTTTGGTTGTCCATTCACCATAGATAGACATGTGTTTGTTTCCACCCCTGCTTTTATGAATAATGCTGCTATGAACATTTCTATGCAAGTCTTTGTGTGGACATATGCTTAATAGCTTCTTAATTGGTCCTTTAGCCTCCTTCAGGGATCTTGCTTCTGTGCTTGTCCCCCTCCAATCTGTCCTCTACACTGTAGCCAGAGTGATTTTCCTAAAGTGTAAATCTGATCATGCCATTTCCCTGCTTAAAATCCTTCGGTAGTGCCCAAGTACCCTCAGGATCAAGTTTAAACTCTTTCAACTGAAGAGCCCACTAAGAATCTTCGATATCTACCTTCCCTCCCCACCTTCTCTTTCACTATGCCCCCTCTCCACTTCTTGCTTCAGCCGTTTATTCATATTGTTTCATTCGTTCATTTAACATTCATTCATTCAGTTAACTAGGCTTAGCGAGGCTCTGGGAATATAGTGATAGGACAGCCAAATCCTTGCTTTCATGGAGCTTTCTTTCTAGTGAAAGGCAGACGGTAAACAAGCAAGTATCAGAGAGTGGTCAGTGCTCTAAAGAAAATTAAAAAGGGTGACTCTGAAATCTGCAGGTCTGGGTGTTCCTCAGAGCCTCTGCTCTATTGCCAGCTGCCTACTTGATATCTCCACTTGGATGTCTAATGGTGGCAAATTCTGGTTCCCCTCTGTTCTTCAATGTGATTTTTCTCACCCAGGAGCACTTTTATCTTACTGAATCTCTTCCTTGTACTCATCCTTACCTTTTACATCTTCCCTAATCCTCTGCTCCAGCCCTGCCTTCAAAGCCTGGCTCCTTGTGCTGCCCAGTATGCTTTCTGTATACTTTCATTACATGCTGACTCACTCAGGTACCACCCTTCATGTTATATTTAAATGCCTTACGGTTGTCTGTTTATTCTGTTATGCTTTAAGCACTTGATAACTTTGAATACTCAGAGTCTAGTCTGGTTTCTGGCACATAGTTGATGCATAATGAAATCTGTTGAAAGGGTGATTGTATGCGGTTAGCTTTGAACGGGAGGGAGGGAAGGAAGGGGGAAGGAACACTTGCCTTCAGGACTAGAGGGAGGGAAGGAGCTAAGGCCCATTAATGCATAAATAAGTTTTTAGGATTGGGGGGGAAAGTTGTAGTTTAGATAGCATACATTTCCACAATGATAACAATTTCGTGCACAGTATAAAGTGAAGAGTGTAGTTATTTATAATGAGCAATTAGCAGTGCATTAGAAAAATAAAGGAGTAGTGCTGTGGGATGCATCTTGAAATCTTAAAATTATTCTTACTTCTCGTTTTATGGCTGTTAGATTCAGCCTAATTTCTTTAGGTCATTTGTTACATGTATGGATGTGGATGACTAAATTACCTGGATGTTGGACTGGTTTCGCTCTTGCTCTTTTATGATTGATTTTGTTTTGATGTTGCTTTTCCAGCTTTCGGAAAATGTGATTGATCGAATGAAGGAATCCTCTGCATCTGGCTCGAAGTCTCAGCGGTATTCGGGTGCTTACGGTGCCTCAGGTATTGCTGAATTTTAATATTAGGGTTTTTAGGAGAAAAATTCTAAGTGGAAAAAGTTGACTCAGTAGTCAAGTTCTCTAGCATTCTGCCTTTCGTTATTTGGATGTTTAGCTTTTTATAAGGAATATTAGAAATCAGTTATTGGGGTTTCTTTTAAAATGTTTTGTGCTAAGAATGAATATTTTCAGTCTTTGGGAATTTTGTTTTCTCATTCCACTCCTGAATCCTTTACTAGGCTTTGGAAAGCTGCTTCATATCTTTTTGTATACAACAGATTGCCTATAGGGATACTAGAGACTTAGGAATAAATATTTATTTAAAAAATTGATCTTAGAAAATACTGATTTGCTATTTTCAAGTTGTGAAGTATTTCAAATGATTTTATCTTCTAATAAATTTCTCATAAGTTTATGAAAGATTTAGTTTGTCACAGTCAGTCTTAGTTATTGATGGAAATACGGTGTTAAATGAAATCCATAAAGAATTATTAAGCCTCATTTTATCTGTAGGTCCTGCTGGATAAGAGACTTAATGCTGCTGCTTCTCCCTTTTCTCTCTCCTGCCACGTGTCTGTTTATCCAGTATTTACTAAGCACCAGCTATGTGTCCAGCACTGTTCTTGATACTGCCCAGTTGATGGATACTTAGGCTATTTATTGTGAAATGACAGCAAGAAAATAATTGGGATGATTAATTTTGGACTAAGTGAGATTTTGCTGTATTTATAGAAAGGGGCAAATCTGGCTATAGACTGTGAAATTGAGAAAGATGAGATCCTGCCCAAATGCCATTCACTTGGGCCAACTGTGGCCCCCAGCCCCTTACTAACATTAAATCAGTAAACATGAATTGAGCTTCTGATATGTTTAGAGCAGAGGGTACCAAGATGAGTAAGAAAGGGTTTCTTGCCCCTTTGAAGCCTCTTGTTTAGTAGGAGAGTTGAAAAGGATTCACAGTTCATTAACGCTAGATAGAAAGTGAGCACGCCTTCCTTGTTAGAAACCCTTTCTTGGGCTTCTGGACCACACTCTTGGTTTTCCTTCCACCCTACTTGCAATCCTCAGTCCAGGCTTCTTTGTTGATTTCTACAAAGTAATCTTGTCCCAATTTATGGTTTTGAAATTATTATCTAGATGCCTGTAACTCCCAAAATTATATCTCTAGCCCTGACCTTTCCCTGAAATTCCAGACATTATAATAGACAGCTGCCTACTTGAAATCTCCCCTTACAGATTCCTTAACTTGATATATTCCAAATCAACCTTTATTTTCACCCCCATACTTGCTTTTCCTCTCCGTATTTCCTGGTAAATGGCACAGGTAGTAAAGCCCCCAATGGGAGATTCATTCTTGTTTTCTTTTTTCCTTACTCCTTACATCAGACTGTTAGCTAGTCTTGTCAACTCGATCTCTAAAGCATGTCTAAATATGCTCCTTTTGCATCCATCTCCTCTGCTACGGCTCCAATCCAGATAGATAACCATTGTCTTCTGCAGAAGTCTCTTAACTGGCCCCCTGCTTCCACTCTTCCCCACTGCGCTATGCACACAGAAGTCATCACAATCTTTTGAAGAAGAGCAAATCAGGTGAAGTCACGTCCCAGTGGTGGCTCTCCATGGTACATAGAATGTAGCCTGAGCTGCTTCCCTGGGCTTCCATCATATATCACTACTGGTCCCTATCTGTCTTTCCCACATCATCTCATTATTCATCATCTCCCATCACCCTTCCTCTACTTATTCACTGTGACTGCTATCTTCACTAGAAGACAAGCTCCAGGGACCTTGTTCCTCATCTGTTTGTTCACAGCTGAATTCTCAGCTCCCTAGGATACTGTACCTGCTTCTTAGTAAGTGCTTATTATTGTTTGTTGAATTAATTTAAGGGCAAATCTCATTCTCCACTTTAAAAGTAGCCTCTTTTGTTCATTCTGGAGAGTTCTATACATTTAATTCGGGTGACATTTCTTGAGTGTTTCTAAGATGCAAAAAAGTAAGCCAGGTATTTTGAGAGGATGCAAAAATAGGAAAAAGATTTGTTTTTTTGGGCAGATAAATAACGTGTAACAGGACTATAAGGAAGGTAGAAACATAGTATAAAAGAAACCTATAAGATACTGAAATTAAGTTTATCAAATATTTTGGCTGAAGAAAATGCCTTGTTGTACACAAACAAATGCTGTCCAGTTTATTAAACTGCCAAACAACTGCACTTCTGCTCACCCGGGCCTTGCATGTAGATACGAGCGTATATAGTGAGCACATCTAGCTGACCATAGATAAACCTTTGCTGCTGCTTCTTCCTCAAAATGGTGAAGCTGATCATGTCTACATGTATGAACTTAAAATACGGAAAATGTTAAGGAAGCAAATGGTTTGTAACTTTGTAAGTACTTACAACATGGTGTATCTTTTTGCTTACGAATATTCTGTACTATAACCATTGTTTCTGTAGTTTAATTAAAACATTTTCTTGGTGTTAAAAAAAGTACGATGATATATGGATACATTGAAGATTGGAATCTGTTTTAAAGTATAATTTGTTGTAGTTAGATTTTTTTTTCCCTACCTCCTGTGTTAAAGAGTTAGTGTGATGATGATGATGGTTCAGTAGTACTGTAATAATGATAGATGACACTTAAATAAAATTTATTATATGGTAGGTACTCTGCTAAATCCTGTATATATCTTATCTCATTTTATCCTTATAACCCTATGAAGGAGGAGCTGTGGTAATCCATTTTATGTAGAAGGAAACTGAGACTTGAAGTGATTAATTATCTTGCCCAAAGTCACACAGCTGGTGAGCAATGGAGATGAAAGTTACATTCAAGTTTATCTGACTCCAGAGCAAATGCTGTTAACCACTTTGTCTTATTTTAATATGAATGACATCTTGTTTTAGGAAGGACGTGACAGAAACTAGTTGGAACGAAGGAGCTGCTTTTTAGTGATGTTCTGCTTGAACTAAGGAAAGAACCCGTTGTCTATAAGTGGTTGTTGGTTGTGCTAGCTTTTTCCCATATTGGCTCTCAAATAGTGAGTGGAAAAAGAGAAAATGTTTTCTTTCTTGGTTGTTTTGATACACTGAGAGAGTGGGCATGGGTTGGCAGGTTTTCTATGAGTGCCTGTAGGGTGTATGGCCTGAAGAGCATGCCACTGTTGTGAAGAGCCCTGGCTTTGCTGAAGGACCCATCCCTTCTCACTCCCTGTTTGAAATGATGGGGACCAGCCTGAGCACTGAAAGCTCTTAGAATGCCACCTGTGGGCCGGGATTGGTGGCTCATACCTGTAATCCCAGCACTTTGGTAGGCCGAGGTGGGTGTATCACCTGAGGTTAGGAGTTCGAGACCAACCTGGCCAACAGGGCGAAACCCTATTTCTACTAAAAATACAAAAATTAGCTGATTGTGGTGGAACATGCAATCCCAGCTACTCAGGAGGCTGAGGCATGAGAACTGATTGAACCTGGGGGGCAGAGGTTGCAGTGAGCTGAGATTGCACCACTACACTCCAGCCTGGGCAAGAGTGAGACTCCATCTCAAAAAAAAAAAAAAAGAAAAGAAAAGTATGCCACCTTGTGTTTTGGTGGTCAGGTTAGAACTACACTGTGAATGATAGCCACTAGTCACATGTGGCTGTTAAAAGTTAAATGAAAATTAAGTCAATGATAAAATGAAAATTTCAGCTTCCAAGTGACACTCATCACATTTTATGCTCAGTAACTGCATGTGGCTTGTGACTACCATATTGGACAGCGCAGATATAGGACATTTCTATTATTGCAGACAGTCCTGTTGCATAGCTCTGGTCTAGAATACTCCAGTGTTTTTTTTTCCTATCTGCACCATGATGTGAAAAAGACTCAACAAGACTCTTTGATTACATGATTTTTCTTACCCATTCCAACCTAACCCAAGAAAAGAACTAAGATTTGGCATGCTATTTTGAAATTATCTTGCTTTAGGTTAAGAATGCAATTAGACTATGTATAAATTAACAAAGATTTATTCTTCTTAGAATTAAAAAAATAGGTTTGTAAAAGCAGAAAGCCTGAAAATTTATGTGCTTTTCTGAGTTTGCATCATTTAGGGGTTTTAGTTAGCACTCAATAATAGATTTCTTATGATTTAAAATTTAGATGTGTTATGAAATAATTTTTCAAGCCTACAAAAATGTATTGATAAAAATGTCACTTGCCTTTTTTACATTTTTCAGTGTGAAGTAAATTATATATTAAATGTGAGTTGAATTTTAAATATTTATTAAAAAGCCTTCTTTCTTACATCACTCTTGGTCGTACCAGCCCTAGGCTACTCGTATGTGTGAATATAGGGCAGCGTATTTGATGAACTGAGAGCCCTAGGATTTCTGTATATAGTAACTAAATTTTGTCATAAAAATAGTTTTGAGAATATATTTTATACTGTAAGAAAGTGGATTCCTCTGAAGACTTTACTGAAACTGTTTTTTTGCTAAACCTTGAACCAGATCAGTGGCTCGTTGCAATAAGTATTTGCATGTAAAGCTGTTTGGGCAAAATAATATATACTGTGTGACACACAGCAGATTGTAATGCCACTTTAATAAATGAATGTGCTGTAAAGAACTTAACTGTGTCCTTGCTGCCTCAAATTTTTTGCTGCATTATCTCAAGTATATTGGTTTGCTGTTACACCAGATAATTTTCTTCTTAGGCTGACATAAGGAGATGTCATTGCATATAGTTATAAATTTACCTTTTTATTAACATCTTGCATCTTTTGATTTTAAAAAATCAATTTCGGGTATTGATTTTTTCCTCTCCAACCTGATCTTTTAGTTTTTCTGGCTTATAATGAGGTCAGACCTCTCATGGTTGACCCTACCTACTGCTGAAGAAACTGTCTCTGAATCAATATGAAGAAACAGACAGGAAATGATATTAGGAGACTTTTCTTTTGTTTTCCTAAGCTACTGGCAGCCAGATAAAAATGATGAATCTAGAAAAAACAAGAAAAA